GGGGAGAGAGTCACCTAAAGAATGCAATCCACAAAAGCCAGCCCACTAGGCAGGGAAAATGTGTATACTCGCCAATGGTAGATGCTGACAAAAAAGAGTATAAAACAGGTGTAAAAATTTTAAGGCTCCTTTACATTTCCAGAGTGGTGTAAAGGAGCCTTATTGTAAAGTGCAGTATGGCCTTATAAATGCTTATGGTGCTTTAGTGTTTAGAACTGGTCTACATATTTGGACTGAAAAAATTACCTATCAAAATGTGCTCCATGAACTGTTTGCGACTGACCTTTTTGGAGATGGTCAGTAGCCAGTATAAATTGTGAGTTTGAGTCCCCAGCCCTCACTTGCTCTTCAGTTGCCTATGTTGTAACAATGAGCATATGGCTGCATATATTTGTTGACTAATAATTAGAAGTAAGGGTCAATACTAGCTATATTACTATTAGACAGAGGGGGGTTGGTGATTTCCTCCAATGCTTCCCACTTCCATTCTCCATCCATTGTATTGTAGTTTAAAGAAATTACCAAAATAATTGAAACTAGCTGGATTATATTGCATTATTTTGACAAAAAAATGCAGAATTTTAAAATATTGTGTGCAGAATTTTTATTTTTTTGGTGCAGAATTCCTCCAGGAGTAATTTATGAAGACTATTATCAGGTCCGCCCTCAGTCTTTTTTTCTCAAGACTAAACAAGTTTTAAACTTTTCTGCATAGGTCAAGTTTTCTAAACCTTTTATCTGTTTTGTTGCTCTCCTCTGGACTCTCTCCAAATTGTCCACATCCTTCTTAAAGTGCGGTGCCCAAAACTGGACATAGTACTCTAGCTGAGGCCCTACCAGTGCTGAGTAGATTGAGACAAAAATCCCATGTCTTAGATAATGCATCCTGTTAATAAACTCCAGAATGACATTAGCCTTTTTCACAACAGTATCACACTGTTGACTCATATTCACTCTGAGATCCATTATAACTCCCGCATCTTTTACAGCAGCTCTACTTTTAGCCAATTATTCTGCATTTTGTAGTTGTACATTTTTTTCCTTCCTAACTGACGTACTTTGCACTTCTTTTTATTGAATATTGTGTTGATCTGACCGATTCTCCAATTTGTCAAAGTTGTTTTGAATTCTAATCCTGTCCTCCACAGTGCTTGCAACCCCTCCCAGTTTGGTGTCATCTGAAAATTGTATATGCATACTCTCCGTTCCATTATCCAAGTCATTAATGAAAATATTGACTAGTACCACATCCAGGATTGACCCCCTGTGGGATCCTACTAAATACAGTCTCACAGTTTGACGGTGAACCATTGATAACTACTCTTTAAGTACAGCCTTCCAACCAGTTTTGCACCCACCTTATAGTACTTTTGTCAAAACCATATTTCCCTAGTTTGCTTGATTTCCCTAATTTGCTCACTGAAGATTGTGAGGTGCTCATACACATCATAAGTATGGGGGACACATGATAGAACTTGCTAATGTGTTTGAAAACTACAAATTGCCTTTTCTTACCAAGGGTTTTACCACACATTAGCTAAAACATGGTTAGAACACACTTTCTTCCTAGAGAAGGTGCTTCATCGGGGTATCTGAGATGTCAGACACCGCTCAGAGGTAGTTAAATATTATTTCCATAGAGAAGTGAGGCAGTGAAGTTAAAGAAAACAGAGCATTTCAACTGCCCATCAGAACCTGAGGTGATTTAAAGAATGATGAAAACAGTGATAACAATTCCATTTTCTTCACGAAAAATATAGTCAAAAAATATCGACTAGCTCTGGGCAGGACAATGGGGAAAATAAGAGCCTGGAATTATAGAAATAATCCTTACCCTTCACTGATTTCTTCATTGTTCAGATCACTTGATATTTCTGCTATCAGACCCTAAATGATGTGTTTTTAGAACCCTCCACCTCTACAACACAAGGCAGCCCCCAGGAATCATGTGTCATCCAGAAGCAGCACCGCTCACCCCCGTGCTCCAGAGCTATCTGGCTGACCCCCAGCTACTGCGTGACTGCAACTGAGGGGATGAGGAAAAGCAGAGAGTCTTCTCAAGACAGGCACTGCACAGTACTTAATTTGTCCCAGGCCTCTGGCCCAGCAGTTCATAGCCCTGGCCCTTCTGCCTTGCTGCAGCTGTTATGAAAGTAAAACAATTGCTTGAGGCCCAGCACCTCTTTCATCACAAATTAAGCATTGGCACTGCCTGTTCTTCATGTGGTCTTTAGTGAGACAATCTAGAACCTTACTCTTGCTGTTGGGCTGAGTTAATGTTTGGGTCACTTCAAAGGCTGAGTCCGATAATGAGATAATGTGGCATCCTCTGCAGTGAAATAACTTCAGCAACTGCTACTTTAGAGATGGTAGTTGAGGGTAGTTCTCATCATTGAATAATGTCGCCTAGGTATGACCTTGTGGTCTATTATGCATATCAAACAGTGAATGCACCCTATGAAACAGTCCTTCCTTTTTTCATTAAAAGACAATGGGAAGCTTAACTTTTATAAGCGAGATCGTTTTCTTCTAAACATTACAGTCCTTTACAACCCAGGGTTAAAACTCTGAGATTTGCAATTGATTACAAAAAAAAAAAAAAAAAGCGGCCCATTATTAAGCCCTAACTGAGTAATTTGCAGTTTATTTCACCCTAGCTAATTAAAATGTAATCAGTATTGTTTGGCAATGTGCATTCTGTCAGCAGTTTTACTTCGGAAAAGAAATCACGCCAAGAAAAAAACAAAAAAAGCCTTTCACTAGGAATTGGCTTGATCTAAACTGGCGCCTTAGCCACTGAAACTCTACAACAAATAAGTTACAACCGGCTGACAGTGCAAGCCCATTCCAAGATAAAGAACTGTTTTACATGTTTTTCCTGCTTTCGAGACATTTTCTGAGACGAAGACATTTTCATAGCAAGCACTTTGCAGTTTCAAAATCCAGGACACCTTCAGGTAAAACCTTGGGACTGCACGTGCTCTTTGCCCCACACGCGAATGTGCAGGTTCAAATACTTTCCCCTTGCCCTTTCTGTCTGATATGGACAGTCAGTAGCGTACCCCAAGCTCTCCACTCCCCTCCCCCCTGCCCCCGTTTAAGAGGGGCTCTTTTGCATTCCCAGGCTTTTTATTCTTAAATTCAGCTACAGATACGAGAAAGCTCTTGTTGCAGTCGAGACATCAAAACATTTGGGTTTTATTTTCCCATTGAATTTAAAATATGTACCGGTGATCCGGTTTTTAAAAAGCCCAACATTTCAGGTGAACTCCTTTGCTTTGGATGAACAAAGCGGCTTTAGGCAACTATTTCCCTCGCAGTTTGTGTTTGTTTCAATGCACTCTAAAAGCACAGAGAGGAGAGAAACACAATCACTTCCCTCTCACCTTTTCCCCACCCGTGTTTTGGGACATATCTCTACAGTGCTAATGGCTCCCTCTGTCCAAATAGGTGGGAGGCCAGTTTATTAAGGGGAGAGAGGGCTGTTGTTATGTGCAATTTAAAGTGTTTTCACCATTTCCTTCTGGCCGATGCAGTTCAGTCTTTACATCACCACCGAACAGGTGTGGGGGGGGGGGGGGGGTCGGAAGAGATAGTCTAGAGGGAAGGTGTGGACATACCGAGTTGGAGACACGATTTCCTAAAAAGATCTCGTCCGCGATGTCCTAAATATGCTTTTTGACCCACCAATTTAGGTGTGGTTCATTTTACTCCAGACAGGTCTCGAGCTCATGCACCTCGACCTATTTCCCAATGTCTTGTCCCATTTCTGCCCCACCCCCATCATCATCATCATCATCTCCGCCACCACATAGACATTTGTCCCGCATAGCTTGTCGCCTAGTTTGTAGTTCTAGTATAACCACCAACTCCCCATCCGCTTTTATTCTGGCAGATCGGAACAGAGGCTACAAACTCTTGACCATCGCCCTTAAGAAAACATCCCGAATTTTCAAGCAGAACGTAAGAGAAATCCAACTCCAATGATGAACTGTAATAAACACTTGCTTCTTAACATCAGAGCAACCAAAACTCAGATCATTTGCCCCTCAGACTTTCTTCAGCATTTAAACCCCCCTCCACACACACACACAAAGCACCAGTGTCTTGTCCTACTTAGTTTTCACACCGCTCTTAAATCTCCTAAAAACCAGAGACGTGCGCGCTTAGCCAACCATGCCAGGACATCGCCTGCCGCCCGGGCATGAAATCAGGAGCCCTCGGAGGCTCTGGGCTGCAGGTCCTCTGTAACTATCAAAGTAACTATCAGAGACAGGTTTCAGAGTAACAGCCGTGTTAGTCTGGATTCGCAAAAAGAAAAGGAGTCCTTGTGGCACCTTAGAGACTAACCAAACTGGGCACCTGTGAGGGGGAAGAGAGCTGCCTTGCCTGCATAAGTCACCTTCCCCGGCACAAACTGCCCGCTTCAGTGAAAAACCCTGCCAACAAATCCCTGCACAAACAACCCCAGTTCCAGCCGCGCTAGGACATTTACAAATGCAATTAACAGTCAATGGGAGCATTTAGCTAAACACGCAGCAAGCACAGCGATCTGCCCCGGTAAGACCCGGTGCCGGGATAAAAGTCTGGTTTGCACAGCGTGAGGACGGGTCCGAAATACCACTCATTCTCGTTCTGGTCGCCCCGGGTGTTCCTTGTGTTGGCGTTAAGGGTTTCCACCTGCCTAAGCTCTGGGGCGATCGCAGGGGCGGGGGGGGGAGATGTACACCCTGCGACATAAGCAGCCCCTTTTGGGAACTCCCGCCCGGGAAGTTTGCAAAGAAGCGATGAAGACCAAGCCGTCCCATGTACACCCACTAGCACCCCACCCCCCACCTCACAGCACCCCCCCACCCCACCCTGAACGTGCACTCCCCCAGACCTGGGCAACACTGCCCAGCGGCGTCACCGGGCCGAGGGCTTGCACGCGTGGAGAGCGCGTGGCGAGGGGCGAGGGGCGGGTGCGGGGTCTCTCTTTCCCTATTGCGCTGCGACCGTACCTGGAAATGCTTGAAGAAGGCAGATATGCGAGTGATCTGCAGGCTCAGGCACCTGGAGGTGCATCTGGCTCTGTAGACACTGACAGTGGAGAAAGACTCGTCCTGCTTGCGAGCAGCAGCAACCCCGGCAGCTGCAGCCAGGCAGCCCCAGGAAGCCGTAATCCAAAGGAAAAGGGTCAGAGACCCGGCGGGATCCTTTAGCACCATCGCTGTGCGGTGGGTGGGTGCTGAGGAGAGGAAGGGGTGCCGCAGAGAGCAAGGGACGCCCGGATAAGCCCCCCTGCACCGATCTGGTGCTAGACTGGACTGGGGGCGGGGGGGGACCTCAGCGCTGCAGAAACTAAACAAGAAAGTTCAATCATTCAACTCTCTTCACCCCCCTTCCTCCCCTCCCCAGCACACACCCCTCCCCTTACTCCCAGGAGGGGGTGGGGTGAGGGTGACAGGAGGCTGTGCCATTGGCTGCAAGAAATGGGAGTGACAGCAGAGCCCGGCTGCCTGACCGCAGGCAGGGGACAGAGAATGCGAGGGAGCTGGTGAACTTCTCCGAGGTCCCCTGGACACATGCTGTGTACACCCTGGGCTGCTGCAACACACCGGCACACAGACCCTGCACAGTAACTCCCCCACCCCCTTACATGACTAGCACTCAGCCCAGCCTACACGGACCCTCAGCTGTTCCTAAATAGACACCCCAAACACAGACACCCCTAGCACACATGCAGACTCGGGCATTCCTAAACACACACACACACGGCTTGCGGTGCGAAGTGCTGAGCCCTGTTAGCTCCCACGGACATCACAGGGAATTGAAGACACGCAGCAACCTGCCGGATCTGGCCCTTAAACAAGTACACCTACTTATCCTCGGATACAAACATGCCTAATGCACCCAGGCAAACACAAACACAGGCATCCACAGACCGACTAAGGCATATAGACCTAAATAGACACACCCAGTATGCACAGAGACATGCACACCCTGGGGTCTGTTGATTTTTCACTGTCAAAACTCATATTTACTTTGTTCTATTAATAGTATTGCTGTGTTCATATGCCTTATTTTGACTTATGAACTCAGATATATTCATTCATAAATGTAAATAAAGCTGAGAAATTCAACTAATGGACAATTCCTCTAAGTCTCTTTGTTAAGGTCTAAAAAAGTGTAGTGAAATTGCAGCTTGGGGTTTACTGAAGACTGGGAGTTTTCCCATATTAAAATCCCAAGTCAGTACTAACCATTTGTTCCAGGCTGGAGCTTGCATAAAATTTCATCCCATAAAATTTCATCCTAGTGTGTTATTTAAAAATTAATTTTTATAAATCATTAGTCCAGTGCCTTTAGGTAATAACTACAAAATTAAAATGATTAACATCTTGCCCTGTTTTAAACAAAATAGCTAAAATACACATACAAGAACTATTCTCTCTCTGTTTTCTTTTTAGTTTGCATATTTACAGTGCATGTACGCAGTACAAAACACATACATTACATTATGCATTAATTTTAAAACACTGTATGTAAACTCCTATTGCTGCAATAAACCATATGAATAGAAGGAGTAAATGTTCTTTTCTAACAGTAGTCTGTGGATTAAATCTCCCAAACTAGGTGATCCCAAGCTTGTATCACTTGTCAGAACTGAGATTTGGGGCCATTACAGGAGGTGTCAATATCTCTGCTGTCGAAATAATTTATAAATTATTATGTCAATGGTCTAGAGGCTGTTGGAGTCTCTTTTGCTGAATATATTTTAAAATGCAGCTAAATACACAAATTGGAAAAATCTCCTTCAATGAAATTAATATATAACAAGGGCTGTGAATAATCTCACTTATACTAGTTTTACACCAGTGTAACACCGCTCTCCTCACCCCTAGATTGACACCAGCATAATGTAAGCAAGAAGCCCAAGGAGATTTTTTTTCCCCTGAACACATGCAGGCAACTTCCATTGTCCACAGCAGGCAATACACAAGTATATCAAGGGAGAATCAAACCCTAAAGACTGTTGTTAAGCCTATGAACCAAGGACATTGTTAAGTCTGAAGTAAGGACATTCATATCTAATGTTATAATTCTATTCAATTTGGTGCTGAGCATGATATAAGAAATTGAATAGAAGAAAACAGAGCTTGGACTAGGTGTTACAATCCACAGGAATTTGGTAACATCAGACACTAGTTTCAGTCAGCCACTTGCAATATGTAGCTATAATAGGGGTGGAGGAGAGTCTTCACTTTTAATTTTTTTTTTTGTGGCCTGAAGTACTTCTGGATCAAATTCTGCCCTCGGGTCACTGGCAGAAATCTGGGGTAACTCGATAGACGTCACCCTGTGAGTGGCTGGGGAACAGCAGTTACAAATTTCCTCCTGTGCCTGAGGGAGCTGCGGTGGCAGAGGGGAACTGGTCTGATGGCAGTGCTATCACAGCCTACCGAAAGGGGTTCGGCAAGGGAGGCACGTTTAAAAGCAAATCGGTGCAGGGTGCCACTGGGGTACGTCTACGCAGCAATAAAAAACCTGTGGCACCAAGTCTCAGTGCCAGGGTCAATTGATTCAGTCTCCCGGGGCTTTGGCTGTGGGGTTAAAAATTGAAATGAAGGCTTTCGGGCTCAGGTAGAGGCCCAGGCTCTGGGACCCTCCACCCCACAGAGTCCCAGATCTCAGGGTCCAGCTGGAGCCCAAACCTCTACACAGCAATTTTTCAGGCCAACAGCCCGAGACTGAGTCAGCTGACCCGGGCCAGCCACGGGTTTTTTATCCCCATATAGATGTAACCTGCCACCCACCCTGCCTCACCGGGTTTCAGAGCCTGAGCTCCAGCCTGAGCCCAAATGTCTACAATGCAACTGTTAGCCCAGCAGCTCAAGGCTTGCAAGCCCAACGCAGCTCACCCAGGACAGCCATGGCAGTGTCAATATACCCTAGAAAGAAGTCCAGAAATGGAGGCTACTTTGGAGATGCACCAATTAAGCTCTGGAGCTGTCCCAACTACCTCTCCAGAAGACTCCACACACTTTGTGAGCTGTGATGGCCAGCCCTGATCCCCTCAGCTGAGTGAAGGCTGGTGGTGGCTTGTAAACTGTGCCCCACTTCTAGTAGACTTCCTATCACTGGAGGACAACATCCTGGGATCTACTAATAACAGTTGGTGGAATCCACTGAGTCAACATGCACAATGGAATCTGGCCTGTCTGGCACCCCAATAGTAGTAAAAAAATCATCCTCATTATGGAAATTATGGTGTAGACCTAGCAAGGCTGCTAAAGGCTGGAGCTACAGCCTTACTAGTCAGAGGTGGCCTGGTTCTGCCTATCCAATTCAGAAAATGTCTGTTTCTGACCCATTTAGTCTGTTTTAGGCTTGACTAACAATTCTGCAATTCCTCAGTGACACCCCAGTCTAGAAGGGAACAGACAACTGACAAAACCCATTACCCTTGACTGATTAATTATGTTTACAAGCATACCAAATGCTTTCAACTTTTGCCACAATTTTATTAAATAAGTATGGCGGTCTGAAAAAATCTGCAGCCATCTTTAATAGTGGTATTTGGTGCTCAGATATGACAGGTATGGAAGACAGACAGATTTATTCCCAGTGTTAGTGCTATTGTACTACTAACCAATCAATGCTGCATATTAAAACTAAAATAACTACATTAAAGTCCATGAATCCTGCTGTTTTGTTGTTTTTTTGAAGATTGGTAGCAAAAGGCACAGAGCCCTTAATCATTAAAAAAGTTTGTGAATACAGTTTATTCAGTTGCTTGTGTTGGAAAGGTCACAGTTACAGAGATCATCAGGGTAGTCTCTGAATTCCTTTTAAGTGAGGCTGAGTTGGTTAGCACACAAAAGAATGGCTGTTCAATGCCACTAAAACCAAATTCGCACAGGACATGTTTCCCTTACAAGGAGATTAAGAAACTAAAGAAACCCAGGGACTATAATTCAAATACTTGGTAAACAAGGTTGGCAGTCAAAAACCTGTAAGGACTAAATATATACCTGACTGTTAGAAAAAAATTACATACACATATAAATGTAAATATATGAATGTGCGTGTCTGTATGTTATAGGGAGAAAGTTTACTAAGTTTCTTCATGGAACATGAGATTTGGAAACAAGTAGGATGCACAAAGTAACATGTTTTTTGCAAACTTCTGAAGTAAACAAGAGATTGTTTTAGTTTATTAAACACACACAACTTATAGACATCCATGGAATAAAATTAGTAATTTGTTAAAGCAAACACGATTTTCCTTTTGGGTGATTTTTTCTGCTGACTACCGCTAACCACTCTTAAATTTCTGCTTTTAAAAATCCTTTTTCTTGTGAATTGTGTTACTTTGATGCAGTACATGTCTTTTTCTTTTCCACAATCTAAAATATATTGATCTGTTTTTGTTTACTTGGTTTTTGGTTTTGGTCCTCACCCCCCAATAAACTAAAAAAAAGTAATCTCTCAGCATTAAAAACATTAAAAACTCAAGCAAAAATAATCTTTAAATGCATAAAGCATTGACCTCATGCTACTATGAAAACACAATTAGTCCTTCTTCAGTGTTGTGCTGTGACATTTACAGCTGGCAATGTAAACACTAGCTCCCCTGAAGACCAGCTTTGTGAAAGTCAGGGCTGTTTTTTGACAGGAGACAGCGCCACATACTGGTTATGTGAAGTGAGATCTGCAAGTGACTAATAGAATGTTACATTGCACAGAATTAATCTGATTTTATGAGTCACTTTTCATCAATTTTAAATAAACCTGAATGCCTCTTAAATAATTACCTCTTACTATCTAGTAATACTGACATTAAAAACCATGCCCAGTTGGGCAAATAAAGATGATATTGTTTACTTTAACAGTATTTGCTGTTTAAATATGGGGTACCAGAATTCACTGATTTGATTTATTATATTAAAAGGCCTTGTTCCTGCAGTCTATACTCAAGCATAATTCCCATTAGCTTCAATGATGTTGCAAACAGAAGATTATGAAGGTCAAATAAACAAAACACACATAGAAGTTCTTAAAACAGCCCATTTACAACCATATTTCCCATATAATAAAAAACAGAGAGAAAGCAAAATAGAAAATATAATACATATAGTCAGTATCATCTCCAAACCAAATGTGTGCCATAGTTTTCTCTATAGTTGTCAAAAGATCTTTCTCAGATAAAAAATATTTATTTAATGTAATAACACAACTATCTATTTAATCGCCTTTTCAAAAGTGGCAAGCTGCTTATAATTGTTCATAAGGAACTGATAATGAGTCAGACCTTTTTTTTCCCTTTTCCTTTACCCCTTTTACCTCCAATAGTTGTTTGGAGTCCATCTGTCCTGAATCTCATTAACCAAAT